AGAGAGAGAGAGACAGAGACAGAGACAGAGACAGAGACAGAGAGACAGAGAGAGACAGAGAGAGAGAGAGACAGAGAGAGAGAGAGAAGGATTTGTATACATGAAAAAATATGTAGAATTAAAGATATAGTTTGGTAATTGAATACTGGCCTAGCATGTGCAACACCCTGTGTTTGATCCTCAATTTTGCTAGTGTGTGTGTGTGTGTGTGTGTGTGTGTGTGTGTGTGTGTGTAAATGTATATGGTTACAAAAATAGAGAACCAAGTTAACTGGGTAGAAGTGGCTGCCACTTGCAAGGTGTGATGATGAATTTATGTTGGTATGACAGGTACTTTTATTTATATCCCTCCATATGTCCCTACATATTTAATATGACATTTTATTATTTTGAAATAAGAGAAAAAACCTAAGCAAGCCAAGAGGGATTTTAATACTGCAGAATATACTGAACATTAACTCTTGTCCAAGTGAACAGATTTTAAGATGAGTCCACACAGCTTTCATTGTGATTTTAGAACAATGTGAGTAAGTAACTGAAGTGCTTCAAGATTTATGGACAACATTCAAAACTGATGACACTCTGAAACATAAATTTCCATGCATCATCTTAAGCACGTGGACATTGGCATCCTGAGTGAAGCTACATCAGTGTTCTGGAAGACAATTTGAAAAACTTGTCATACAGGTCTTTCACACATGTTTGATTATATTCACCCCAAAATATTTTATATTATTTGTGGCTATTGTAAAGGGTGATATTTCTCTGATTTCTTTCTTGGCCTGTTTATCATTTTTATATAGGAAGGCTTCTGATTTTTTTGTGTTAATATTGTTACCTGCCACATTCCTGAAGGTATTTCTCCACTGTAGGATTTGTCTAGTAGAATTATGGGGTCACTTATATATACCATCATATCATCTGCAAAAAGAGAAAGTTAGACTTCTACCTTTCCAATTTGTATTCCCTTGATCTCCATTTGTTGTCTTATTAATCTAGTTAGAACCTCAAGTACTATATTGAATAGGTATGGAGACAGTGGACAAGCTTGTCTTGTTCCTGATTTTAGTGAGATTGCTTGTGATGCAGTGTCTTTAAAAGCCTAGCCATGCAGAAGAGTCTGACAACACC